GTTGTTTAGTGGTGATCATCTCAAAACTTATTATTAATTTGAATTGGCTTGTTAGATTATATTTAGTGACTGAAACATGATAAACGTATAAAATGTTTTTGCAAATATACTTACACCAATTCTTCAAATCTTGGCACAGTGTTATTTTGAAAATAAATAGACCGTATATTGCAAACTTTCTATGGATGGTTACTACCTTTAATTAGATAACGGTAATAATTATAAAATTATGTTTTCTTCAACGTAAAATAATTAAACGATGTAAAGGATAACTTAATGCCTTGAAAAAGTCAAATGGTAACTCGTGACTTCAGAATGAAATACTTGGATACTGACTGAGTATAGACATTAATTTATTAATTATCACTCGTTAACTAAAACAGCGTAGAATACCTGTAATGGTGTTATGCTTGATGAATCCTAATAATGTAATAAAAATGGTGTTAAATTTATGTTTATAAAGTCATGTATTCTGTACTACATAAAAATTTGCTACAATCAAATGGGGACTTACGTAAGCCAGTTCCCCCTCTTCGGGTAGCATAGGCCACCTACCAGCATTCTCCATACAACTGTCTTAGACAATCCTTTCCAGTTCTTTCCAGTTACTATTCATCCTTTTGATGTCTGCTTTTGATTCCAGATAAAGTGTGTTCTTCGGCTTACCGCTTTTCTGTTTCCCTTCTAGATTCCAAGTTACCGCTTGTCTTGTGATGTACTTTGGTGATTTCCTCAATGTGTGCCCTATTCAACTCCAGCGTCTTTTCCTAATTTCCTCTTCAGATTCAATCTGGTTTGTTCTATTGTTGATGGTATCAGGTCGATGGATAATCAGTATCTTACGTAGACAATTGTTCATAAATACTTGTACATTTTTGATAATGGTTGTAGTAGTTCTGAAAGTTTCAGCTCCGTACAGTAGAACTATTTTTACGTTCGCAATAAAGATTGCGAATTTGGTGTTGTTTTGATGTTGACATTTGTTTTGAATTCCATATGTTCTTCAACTGTACAAATGCTGTCCTTTGTTTGCATGCAGTTGAATTTACGTCTGCATTACATCGTTCAATTTCAACGATGATACTACCTAGGTACGTGAAAAATTACACCTCTTCCAGAGTATCTCCATCAAGTTTCATTGGGTTTCTGTTCTCTGTGTTATATTTAAAGATCTTACTTTTCCCCTGTGTATGTTGAGACCTACTGATACAGAGGCTGCTGCTACATTGTTTGTAACGACCTTCATTGCTTGACCTGTATGAGATAGAAGTGCCGGGACTTCCGCGAAGTCAAAATCGTTTAGTGATATCCAACCTGTCCATTCTTTACCGTGCTTCTCCTCAGATGTACAGATCTTCATAATCTAGTCAATCACCAGATGAAAGAGTAAACAACAGAGTAAGCAGACTTGTCTGACTATTGTTCACCCTTGCAATGCATTTGCCAGCTATCCTCTATACATGACATTGAAGTGTAGTCCGTCGCATGAATTCCGTACTGGCAGTAGTGTGATATCTCTGCGATTAGTTCTCACATTTGCTCATATCTCCATTCTTTGCTATCTTGATGAGTTATCCTTCTTTCCAATCTGTCGGTGGCACTTGTTCTTCCTTTCAAATCTTCCTGAATAGAATGTAGATCATGTTTGCAATTACTTCTGTGTTCTCTTTCAGTTCTTCAGCTGGTATATTGTCAGGTTCTGCTACTTTCTCACTCTTCACTTTTCTGGTGGCTATCTTTGTTTCTCCCATCATTGGCGGAGTGACATCAGGTTGATCCAACGGGGCTGGTCTATTCGAGAGTTCCTCGAAATATTCCACCGATGTGTTCGTCTGTCCTTGAGTTTGACTGATTGTCTTGCCTTGTACGTTCTTTGTTATTTCATATAGTTATCTCATATTTCCTTCTCTTGCAGCTTTTTACATTGTCGTTAATAGCTCCTCCATATATTGCTCCTTATAGCCTCTAATGCTCTTCTTCACTTGCTTGTTTGCTTCTGCGTACTCAGCTTGTGCCTTGACTTTCGCTGTTCTTGTTCGACTGTTGTTAATTGTTGTCTTCTCGTTCTTCCTATATTGAATCTTACATAAAGTTTCTGTAGAGATGCATTCCTTATGATGATGGTTTTTGCGGCCCAACACCTTCTGACACGTTGACGTTAACGCTTCGACGAGATGGAGTTGCCAACAACTCCCCTTCTTAACCCGTGCTTGGAACCGGCAATAGCCTTAGAAGAGCTAAAGTCGGAGTTATCCAAATGGGTAACTATTTCACTGAGATGAATCAAAGTACTTTTTATGTTCAGAAACTTCTTATGCCTAATTTACTGATTCTGTGTAAATAAAAATGTTACCGCGGCTTGCGTGATTCATTTTTCCTTTAAAAAAATTAGTAACAGTATAGCTTGCTTTATATCAACATTGTCATTCACATAATTAATGATAAGATATCCAATCTTTGTCATCTTTTTTTCAGATTTACCTTCAGGTTTTTATATTTAATCTTCGCAACTAATGTATAAAAATGTTTCTCTAACGCAAGTTTTCAGAGAAATTACAGTTTTTCTCCTTAAAAACGTTTCATCAAATAATTGATCGACAGAAAAACATATATATATATATATATATATATATATTGTTTTTAATTACGTGATTTTATTATCATTTTCTTTATGTCAGGAGCTAACGTATAAACTAACACTTTAATCTTCAGTTCCTGATAACAATTTACAATTTATTAATGTATGATATCTGTTTATAGATAGTAACATTATTTTTTACAATTCAGATGAATTAACCAATTACATTTAAACTTAATTTCATTAAAAGAACAGTTTTTCGATATTGTCATCATTTAAAACTAATGTTTTTTGCATTTTTGGTTGCATAAAATCTGTCTCCTCAGCATTGTTCATGAGTTTATACGATTATTGTATACTGAACGCAAGATCATTATTATATTTTTTCCCAAAATATTCAAATATATTTATTAGTGTCAATTAAAACTGTTACCAAATTAATATTAACCTGTTGCATTGTAACCATATGGTTGTCATGCCAACTTGAACATAATTACATTTAAAATAAAAACATAACTTCTCACATTTTCATTGTCACAGATGTGTGTAAACAATTTAAATAAGAAAAATAAGTCAATAATGTTCTATTTATTGTAGGTTTACGCAATAAATTATAATGCGATATAATAATAAAATCTAAAGAAAATGCTTATTTGTATAAGTAGTTTTTTTTAGTTAAATTATTTATCGCTTATCACAAGACATAATAATTACGAAATTTGATATTAGTCTGTTAACTTTAGTGAAATAATTTTAAACAGAGTACTTAGTTAATTTTCGTCAATCAACCATAAGAAGTTTATCACAGTTATCATAGTTTTAATACAGATTAATAAAGCTACAAATAAGTTTTAAAGTGAATATTAACGTTAACGATAAAATTACAGTATACCGAGAATAATTGCTCTATCACAAATTAACAACAGTGAAATGAAATTATTTTAAACTAACCAGTTGTAAATAATGTCAATCAATAGTAGGAGATAAAAATTAAGGAAACAGTCTATCAATGATATGATTGAAGAGTAATGTTACGTACACAACTGTTTTTCAACTAAATAATTACCAATCTCATTTGAAGTTTCTAAAAAAATAGGTGAATACATTGAGAAATATAAAGTCATTGGATTAAATACTAGATATTCTGTTGATAAAATAAATGTTCACGTACTATTAACAACAGTAGAGAGAATTCTATGGAAACACTAACATTTTTTTTAAAAATATATCCTTTTAACAATTCTGTTTTTCGATGTTTACTAGACCATTACACTATCGGAAAACATTAAGAAGATGCAATGATTTTATGATTTAAACATGAAAGTTTCCATTTAAGTAATAAGGAATTAGTTAAGAGAAATAAGGTTCAACAAACTAATAGTTCAGAATAAGTAATTTATTGAAATGATAGGAAATAAATAGTGAAATATACCTTATATAACTACAAAAATAAAAATTATACAAAAAACATCCTACTTCGAGTGTGTGTACTCTTTTATAAATGAACTTTCATTATCTTTGATGTTACATAGAATACATCTGTTATAAATTGATAAGCTTTCAGCAACTGATTTCTCCAAGTCTACTTGTCTATGCACCTTACTACATAAATTTATCATGAAATTATAAATAGCTCATTGTTTTATGAATAGACCAAGTACAAAATATATAATGATTTTACATCAAAATGTTAATAAAACAAATATGGATTGTTGTTGTTTTACTTGTATCTTCCCATTGTTATTCGGGACTACTGACGAATCCAAAATATGACGAAACACGCGTCCTGGATTCCACTACTAGACACTATCCATCTTTGCTTAAAAATGCATTGTGTTTAAATTTGTGAATAAATTCGTATTTTATTTGTTTCAACGTTTAATTGGTCAGTTAATTGACCAATCAAAATGAAATAAAAAATAATAATAATTTCTTTAATCAAGATGTCAGGCAAATAAACTTCGCAAATAATATAATAAAATCATTTAAAATTTATGAATAACAAAGTATTGCTTTGACTTTCCAGTTGAAAAAATTATGATTAATTCTATCTCTTAGAATATGATGTACCTGGATCATATTTCACCTTTAATAATGATAGGCTTGATTAACTGGAACCTAGTTTTATCTGAATTCATAGCATATGGATCTAATACTACGAATAAAAATACAGAAAGAGTTTTGAATTCTGTTATTTCTAAGAACCAATCTGAATTACTAGAAAATTTAAAATCTTTATCAGCATCAATGCATATACAGGATACTTCAAATGAGTATATGTTAAGTGATCACCCATTATCTGTAATTAACTTTAACAAGCATCAAAAATTTTCTTATCTAAATGATATGCAACCAGAAAATGTTGATAATTCAAAACATCCATTATTATCTGATCCATTGTTTGATCCTTCAATTCTTACAGATACTGCTGCTCGTGTAATCCAATCCAACCGTTGTACGACAGAAGAACGCCAAAAACGAATACAATGTTTCGAGGTACTACCTGCGGAACAGTATGCTATACCATTAGGACACACTGTGAATATGCAATGTGTTGTTTTAAATCAGCATGGGAAAGTTCAGTGGCGTGCAAAAAAAATACTTCTTGGTACGTTATACGTTTGATTCCATTTAAAACAAGTTTACATAACCATTTCTTCATTAACATAAAATACTATTTTTTAAATTGTATACTTATCAGTTTGTTAATTAAATATTTGTATCTTGAGACAGCGGTTCAAATGCATGTTGACATTGTGAGTAACGTGATTGTTTATCCTTATAAAAACCGATATCTACTGTTTAGTTTTGCGGCTAAAACGATTAGAAGTGTTTAGAATAAAATGTTAATTAAAATGATGGAATTCGACCGTGTCTGGTGTAGGACAGTTACTCACTAAAGACAATAGGGAACGGTCGCACAATATCGTGGATTGATTAAACTCATACATTCACATTATTGGATACCAGCCCGGTTGTCTAGAAGTCAAGTGTTTGCGCGCGAGTCCGAAGATCGCGGTTTCAAATACAGCCTGTGAGATCTCAGATGCACAATGCTGAGTCTCATACTTAAACAAAATGGCCGTTCAGTGCTTCCAAGTTTTCGACGGTGGTCTAACATTGGTTTATTCGTGATCTCAATCTAAAACAATTTCGTTAAATTTTTGAATACACCAGTAGAGTTATATTATAATATTATAATAACATTATTATATACTATGATACTACAGCAGGTGTTGAGTTCTCAATAAATGTAATCAACCGTAAAGCAGTAATATTCTAGTATTACCAAACAATTATTATTACTGAGTTTGTAGGTATCATTACCAAGGTTTGATTTGATAATTTCGAATAAATTGAGCATTGGGTTGATTGTTATAAATAAATAATATATTTGTAATATCCCAATGAGTAGAAAATTAGATTTTCTACTCATTGGGATATTACAAATATATTATTTATTTATAATTATTAATACTGATTCCAAAATGGTTCATGATTTTTTGAATGGTGAACTTGAAGAAAGAGTACTTAATATATTAAATAATACCTAACCTACTTATTTTTGAGGTGTATATTCCTAGCATATTAAGTTCTCCCAAGTCAATATAAATTATATGTATGTTTATACGTATATATAATATAATTGGTTACAAATTCAGGTGATTGATTTCGATAAATTTGTGAATTCTAATCTAGATTAATCTGTTATAATTTTTTGTTGTTGTGAGAATTTCAAATTATCCTCAAAAAATTGATTAATACATTTTTATTGTTTGAAAGTCAATTGATTTTTCTTGTTTTTTTTTTAAATGTATGAATGTAATTACCAAGTTAATTATATTTAGAAAAATTAAATATTCAGGAAATATGTTAAGTAGTTAATGTAATGATCTGAAATGTATATCCAAAAAAGGAACAATTAAAAAAAAAAGGTTGTTAATTTACATTGTATGTTGATCGTAATACCGAAACTTGAGAAACTATTGAAAAAACTAAGGGTAGCAAAACGGTTATTTTGTCCCATTTCAGATGTTTTTAATATTATGCACTCCTAATAATTGATTGAATCTAAATATCCACTGATTCTTAAAATTTTGTTGGCCCTGATTAAAATAAAGCCATATGCTTAGATAATTATCTGCAAACGACACTGTTAGAGTTTTAACGTTCATTTTAATTTCAATTTATTAAATTTCTCCCTGAGCAAACCTTAATCATTAGAAAGCTACATGGATTAGCCTTATGATACAACATTTTGGAAAAATTATTGATTATATATATATATATATAATTGTATCTAGTAGTTGCTTTTCAGGAATAGAAACAATTAAGTATCCCCTGGAAACGAAATTCTGACTGATAGCTGAAAAATTGACGAAACGTAGGGTTTATTCAATAGATGTTTTGTCCTAATTTACAACATCGCTGGAGCATAAAATCGATACCCCACAGACTATGAAAGTAAACCGCATAGAAAATCACCTTTTTTCATTGATACATTAATATTTCTCGGCAAAGCTTGTTTGTATTATTTTGCACTAAACATAACAATCAAAAACCTCTCTCATGTCTGTATAACCTAAGACAAACTTTAACCGCTTCTATGAAGAATAATAGGTTTACACAACTAAGTGTTCATAATTTAAAAAATCGCCTTTTTAATACCAACTCTATATGATGACCATATGCTTTAAAAAATCTGAATTGTGTAACCATGTCCATATATATTTTCACATAGATATCATCTTATCAACCAATTTAATATGAGTAATTATTCCTTAGAAGAAAAAAGTGATAAATTAACAGGAGTTTAAATTCATAGTTAATATTTATTTTTATAATGCCTGACCATGTATATTTAATTTAGCTTAAAAATACAATAAATTTAAGTTCAGAATAAAAATTGTTCACGGATGTTTTATTGGTTCAAGAAAAGAAATTTTAACTTTTTTTATATTTAATTTTCCTGTTTTGATCCATCTAATCAATAATTGATCTCAACTTACTTTTACCAAAAAACCTGACGACAGTTCATTTTTAATTCCATATGGTATCTTAGCTGCAATTTTGAAAATAGTTCTAAAGCCAATACAAAAAATAAATAAAGAGTTTTTATCGAAGTTCTATCGTTTCCAAGCTCACATCATTATGTTGCAAAAAACTATTGTTGATTGTGATTTTTTTTCTCATCTAACTAGTTTATTCACTTTAGGATATTTGTACGTACAATATGACCATAGGATCAAATTGGTTGCTGGAATTGCATGAAACGACAGTTCATATTTGATTTTATTTGTGGTAATTGATTATGTCTTTGCGAGAGTAAACCAAATAATTATTCGATAAATTAAAATTACGATAGAAATAACTAATACGAAATATGGTTTTTGTTATATCCCAATGAGTAGAAAAATTGTATTTCTGACGTTTCGTGATTTAATGTAGACCACTTCTTCAGAGTAAATAAATAACCCAATGCTCAATTTATTTGAAACTATCAAGTTTAACATTGGCATTGATACCTACATAATAAAAATTAATTGCCTACCAACTAGTTACGTCGTTGTCTTAACTGTGTTTGTGTAAAAGGAAATGAACATCAAGATATTGCTTTCATAGTTTATTTTCTTAACTCTTTCATTCAAGTGAATACTTTCAAAAAATCAATAACTAGTAAAAAGCTCAGTGAAATGACATAACTGTTAAATTCCTACCTGACCTATACTGCATATATCCTAGTTTAAACATAATGAATAATCAAGTATATGAATAGCTAAATTTGTTTATTACTGTAAAAACAATTGAAGTTATTTATTTTCTAAAGAAAACTCTTTTTTATCTTATTAATAAAGCTTTCTAGATAACAATAAGTAACAAAATTCATTATCGTCTTATATGTTCGTCAATTTCTGTTTTTAATTAAAGATGATTTCAATAGACTACTTATAATTATTATTCAAATGAAAATTTAATATATTTAAAAAAGTGAAGACCTTAATTATTGAATATTGAAAACTGATTAGATTTGATTAAATTGGTTATTCACTTAAATTTCATTGTAAATGAATACATGAACAATTTATTTACCAAATTATTACCATTATTGAATACATTTGATCTACTTGATGATGTTGAATAGAGTGTGAAGAATAAAGTATACAGACTAAAATGATTCTCTCTATTTTGATGCCCCATATTAGTTATAAACAATCTATTGTTATAACAAATAATCTGATTAAAAATAGAGATATTGTGGTGAAGAAGAACATGAGTGGAGGACAATCGAATGTATCCGAACACGAAATTACAGAACATCTCACGAAAATCTGAGAACCATATAGTAAATACTTAGTTTTGCAAAATATCAATCAATTGTCTCCAACTTGACTGTTTTTGTTTTGCAAATATCAGTCCATTGTCTCAGATTTCATTGTTCCTGAATTTTTCATGCCATATGCTTTTTGTTCACGTTCTTTCCTTTTCGGTCTTCTACTGAAATACATTCTATACCTGACTATGGTTTTCTATTACTTATGTAGATATTAGTAGCTCACACCACAATATGATGTAATTTACTTCATGAATTTATGATGAATATTTGAATACGTGATAATCAATTAACAGGACAGAAAAGAAAAATAGTAGAACAAGATAGGAATCATGCTACTTATTTGTTGAAAATTGTCTTATGAAATGTAAACGCAATGACAATATAATTTCTTAATAAAAAAATATATGGTTCTGTAATCACTCATCACGTTTAATAGGAGAGCACCAGAAGAAATGAAAATTATTGAGACAAAAAGAAATATCATTCTATTGATCAAATCAATTTATTTCATTCAACTTGGATTACCCTCTTTTTGTAAATATAGACTGACTTAGAAATGTTTGATAATGACAGATTGGGTAAAGCTAAGCAATAACAGTCTGCTTCTCAAGACGGTTAAAGTCAAGTAGTTTATAATTTTTAAAGTATCCTATTATATATGAGAAATCGGTGTATTTCCCTTGACAAAAATTCAACAATCCATTAAGTATTTTATTTCATAACCTAGTGAACTATTGTGGTGTGTGCTACTTATGTAGACATAAGTAGTATATGACGCAAGTTAGGAACGTAATGTCTGGTAGCAGAAGATGGGGGAAGATCAAGAAAGAAAGAGCAGAAACACAGTGGGATTTGTATGGAAACTCATGAACGATGAAAGGACAACAGTCGATTGATGTTTGCAACAGGAACACTCAAGTTTGATATGATGAATTATTATTTTGCAAATTAACGACTCACTATATGGTTGTTAGATTTTAATAAGTACTTCTGTAATTTGCTGTCAAACACATTCGCTACACTATATTTAACAAATGTTTATAACAGCCTGACAATAATCAAACATTCGATTGACATCTAGTAATTTATGTTTTACATGTTTGTCAGTGGATCAGAGTAATGATTATTACAATATAAAGTGTTTTCTAAGATTATTCTCAGCAATTAATGCTGGTCACTTTACACAATCTATTATCATCATTTGCCAAAACTAATGCATAATTAATACATGAACGGTTATATAAGGACTAACTAAGTACGTAAAAACGTTAGAT